GGGGGGGGGGGGTTGGGGGGGAGGCGGAGGGCCCGCGGGGCGCAACCATATATAAGCAGCCGCTGTACTTCGTTTCTCTGAGTAAGCCCCAGGCGTGAAGAGAATGCGTGCTGGGACCTCATGCCCAAACTTCTGCCACACTTGGGCAGAGAGTCTCGCCACGCCCATGGAGTCCAAGCCCAGCGAGAGGATAGAGTCTCTGGGATCAAAGTTCCTTGCTGTGACGATGCGGAGCACTTCGAAAGCACATATCGAAGTGCACGGCTCAAGGCTTATGCTTTGGATTCTCACTGCTCTGGATCATTTTTGCACGTGCGGCAACTTGACCTGGCAGAAGCCATCGACCCTCTTTGCTGTTGCTGCTGCTGGGCGCTTGGGGACCCTATACGTCAGGTTTCTTGCGCGTGGGGAGGCCCCCATCTGTGGCAACGGGTCGTCCGGTCTCTGAGCCGCTCTCCTTGTTCAGCCCCGCCGCCCGGCCGAGGGCCCCGCCCCGGGCGTTTAAACGGGCGTTGTAAACACTGGTCGAATAGACATCCCTCCGTGTCCCTCGCTCTCTCTGCTGTCTCGAAGCAGGCTTTTCGGCAAAGAGACAACTCTCCTGCCTTCAGTACTTCACCCCTGTCACAAAAGAAGACAGAGACTGCAGGACATCACTCCCAACAAAAACTTGAAGTACGGAAGGCTCAACATGTCCGAGCATGAGGACGTAAGCGACAAACTTGCACAGAGCTGGAAACATGTCATCAGGCAGTGTGAGTTGCACCCTTCTTCCTGATGCAACCACTTCCATGAAGGTCCAAGTCATGAGCCCAGGGAACGACAGCAATCTGAAGCCGAAAAGGCAAGCGCCTGGCCCATGTACACATGCCAGCGCAGGCACGTCTCCAGACAGTACAGATCGTGGTAACGAACTACTTCATCCGTCGTTTGTTGCCATGCATTCGTGTCACATACAAGTTTGCCACACTGCGTGTACTGACTGCAAGTGCACGACACACATGTTTGAACATGACGGCCGGATAAGGGAACATACATGAATTGTCAGTGCTGCTAGCCCAGGTTGAAGAAACAACACACCGCTTTCAAGCCAGGTGGCTGCTTTGGAGAAATATGCTTGAGAATACGATGTAGCCCAGCGCACACACCAGCTGTTTGTGGAAGTGCTGAGGTGATCTCCAGCCCTGTGCAGTCGCTCTGTTCATCCTTACAGGGCTTCTGAACGACATGGAGACAAGAAGGTTCAAACCGATTCATGAACGATCATGATCTGAACGCCACGGGACGGACAGCAATTTGCCATAACCTCAGCCCGGTTGTCACACTGCCAGCAAATCACTTGAAGTCAATTCGACACCTCGACTAGCCCTCTCAAACAGTCTGACATGCACACCCTGCATGCCAGAAGCGGCGAATAAGTGCAGTTCTACTGAGCTTCCCCGAGGCGGTGAGCAAGCCTGCATCTTCCGAGAACGCCACCGGCTCCAGGACAATACGTTGTGGAATTTCCTTCCAAGGTGACACACGCGAGATGCCCCACACATTTTTTCTACAGTAGATCTTGCACAGTGCAACGCGAAACACTGTACTGGGCTGTCTCTTTGATCTGAGAACTGGCTCTTGACTCGACCGGTTTCTGCATCTGCCCACAGGCACGAGGCACGAGTTGGGAGATGTTGAGTGGAGTTTGGGAACCTGCACCTCATGTGCCGACGAGCGGCCCATGCTTTTAGGCTGCATCTGCGGCCAATCTCTGCAAGGCTTTGGAGGACCAAAGCTGATGCCTCGTCGTTGGCTGACTCTACTGCAGCAGCCAGCCTTAAACTTTCGGCTTGCTTGTGCGTTGACTGTGCAATAACAGCCATGAAGTCTGTTTCTGATCTGAGTTGGTCAGAGCACACTGTAACCTGTCAGCCCGGCGGCGACATGTTTGTCAGCCCAAGCTTCTGCAGTAGCTTCGTGCTAGGCACTGCAACCGCGCCAGTAGCCTGGCATGTCGATGCCCACAAGTTAGAGTGCGTCAACCAGGGACTGTGCTGTAGTTCCCAGACAAGCGGCCTGCATAAAGCCACATCCCCAGATGAAAATTTGCGAAATCAGAGGGCTCTGCAGCAAGACCCGTTCCTGCAACATCTGGATCCAGCACACGCAGGGCAGGCAAAAGTTGCAAACACAAGCCCCGCCGGTAACCACGCATCTAGGAAAGAAAGTCAATGCCGTAATTGTATCGTCCTTCTTCATTTTTCCACGGAAGGTTTGCGATGATGACTTTAGTTTTGCGCATGGCTTAGTCGCATTTCGCTGTCGGTCGATGCTCGCGAAGCAGGAGAGAGACTGTTGGTAGCATCTGTATCCAAGTGTCGATTGGCTCCGGCGCCACATAGATGCCCTGGGCGAGCTTGAAGTGGTGCTTGCACCGGTCGATCACACGCACATTGCCAGGTGCAACCTTTCAACCGGAGGGCTGAGTCTTCGAGGGTTTTGTCTCAGATCTCTGCTCGCTGAAATTCCTTCTCTTGCCTGCTTGCGTGCATGCAGCCAGCTCGCCCACATCGCCAGTGCGAAAGTACACCACGCTGTTGAGCACGATCCAATCCTCTGAGTCGGATTCCATCTGTCGAACCGTACCTTCAAGCTATGCAAGCAAGACATCTGCAACTCGCAATGGGGATGCCGCACCTATCAAGCTGTACGGCAACAACGGCATTCCAACACTTGATGGAGGGGAGCGAGCTGCCTTGATCAGTGAACCTCTCCAGGCTGAAGTATCCTGGACTGTGCTGGCTGCCGTAGCACATGACGCATGGTGATGGAGTGACTCTTTAGCTGTCCTGCCATATAGGGCGTCCGGGCTAAAATCTCGCCGCGCGGAGGGCTGTCCGAGGTGAGGTATCCCAATTCAGGCAAATCCAGCAAGCGTATTTCCACGTTCTCTGCCACTGTGCCATTGCTGGCGATCCTCAGTCCAAATGTAGTGCAGATCACACATTGCCCAACCCATGAACAGCTAGAAACATCTCAGCCTGCCGGTCTCTGTGCATCCATACCTGGGCACGACACGAACATGAAGCCCCACAAACTGGGTGCTTGTCAAAACTCTCTATGATAGCTTTGCATCAAAGAGTCCCGTCCACAACCAGCTTGCCGAAGACCCCTGTTGTAAGAGCACCACTATAGGGGAACAGGACGCTTCATGATCGGGCCGAATGACTGTCTGCTGCCATGCGGCTAGTGATAAAGCGCTGCACCTGCATCAGACGGTTGCGTTCATCGGCAGTGTCTGCATTCAGAGAATAACTAGTGACACCAAGAGATAGACCGCATAGTTCTGCTAGTGACCTTGCAATGACCTTTGCTATTTTGTCTCCGTATGGCTGGCAACCGCCAATTGTTAAGCAGGCCGTGCGGTACAATTGCAAACTACCCGGGAGAACTTCGCCTTCGCCGCCGTTCCAGTGTCAGCTGAATTGATTTCACAACAACGCCTGCAACTCCCGCCGAGGACTCACAGAAGGGCATGGGACAAGAGCAGAAAAGTTAAAACCATCGAACACTTAACGTCCGGTACTCTGATTAGTGCGGATTTTGCTGGCCTGATTCCTGAATCTTGCAACTGCCAGTGGTACTTGCGATTTTGATGAGGCAGCCGTTATAGAAGTTTGCTGTGCCTGCTCATGGAAGGCTGAATGCACATGGCCGTCGCATGGGCAAACGACTGTGGAGGGCGGGTGTAGCCGGGCCTGAGCACCAAATACGATGTAGCGCATGTAACACGATGATCGTGCTCTCTTGCGGTGGTTTGCAAAGGCGACTCGGCCTCCTTTATCAGCCTATTGGAGTCTCTGACTGTACCCCCATCTCCGGAGTAAAAGAAATGCACAAGGGCGCCTCTGGCTGTTGGCGCGTTCAGTGTGCAATATGAGTCTCGACATCCTAGTCTCAGTTGGAAGTTCTTATAGCTTTCTCTGCTACCGTTCCTTGACGTGTCCAAGATCTCGAGACGAGCTTCTGCTGCAATGCGCACCCTCGCGCCTGATGCTGCAATGGTGCCCCTGTGGAGATCAACACATCAATCCGGTTGCCCAGCAGGCTCCGTTCCTGATGCTGCTGACTCATGTGCGCCGAAATGGCCCGAAGATGCCCGAAGTATCGTGCAGAAGCTACAACGGAAAACATGGAAAACGTGCCCATCAGGTTCAGGAGCTTGCCATGTCCGCAACACACTTGCCCGAGCCACAGCTTCATGGACGTTCATTTTCTCGAGCTCCTAGTATGCCAGAAGAGTCAGCCAGTGATAAGAAAGCGCTGACGAACTAGACGGAGGCATGCGGAGGCCGTGAACACCTACGACTCCAGCACTGGTGAGGCTTGCGCGCCCTCCTCAACAACGTCGTTCTCGAAGTCAGAGTACAAGCCAGTCCAGAACCTAAGCACATGATCGCTGTGCTGTGGCTTTCTGTGGCTGCTTGCACCATATTGCACCCCCGTTACAGCACTTCAAGGCTGAAGCGACGCAGGCTTGCATTTGGGCTACGTTGGTGCTGCGGCAAAAACAGTCGGGCGCAGTGCTCGGACATCTTCCAGCATTCGATCCAACGAGCCCGAGAATACACCTAGGTTTCGTCACAGCCGCAGTCTACAATGGGCAGGCACAGCTGATCGACTCAGTGCATCCCGGAGGTGCTGAGACCTTTGCCTATGCGTCCGCCCTGCATGAGCACGTCGTGGCTTTGACGGATAGCTTCATAAGCGTAGGTGACGATATCCACAGACCTGGGATCAGACCGAATGAAGCAAGCACAGCCAGCACCTGCCTGCCGGCGTGGGAGCCATGAGTTTTCGACGGTTTCCCAAGTCGGCCTGGTAACGACTCGGGGGTTCGCCCGCAACTGCCCTTGAACAGTGCCTCTTCCGTCACCACGGCCAGTTTTGGGGCTCCAGTGCTGCCACTTGATGGCAGCAGCTTGGCGAGACGCTTCGGATCCCTCCAGGAGGGTACTCTCAAAGCTTGACTTCCCTCTTGCAGTGCGTCGAGAAAGCCTTTTTGCTGCCAGCTTGGTGGACTGCTGTCTGTTCCTGTAGCCAGCGGGCGAGAGGACTGCTGCAAACAGTACGGTTCAGACGAGTCCTCGATCCATATAACCATTTGAAGCTTCGAAGCAGATGCGCGACTTGAAGCGCGCTGGATCACCGGCTGGAGGTGCATGGAGGCTATCAGAAGGCATAGACCAGTTTTGTCGAGAATCTGTGCCAGTGCTGCGTCATCTGTTGCACGGTGCATCGTCACCAACGGGATAGCCGCCAGAGAGCACGCAAAGTCGACAATGAACCACGGAATGCTAACCGCCGACAGCAAGCCGATGACTGGGGTGCCTTTTGTTGCCGACACCTTTCGCAACAGCTGCTGTAAGCTATCTGCAAAATGAGCTGACATAGATCCAATTTCCTCGTATGAGTGCCAAGTGTAGGATTCGCCAGTGCGCCAGCCAAGACAACGCCGACTTGAGTAAAGATGAAAAGATGTCACCAAAGCTTGTGCAGCACAGTTGGCTGTCGCCAGTTGTGAAGTTTGGACAACCAAAGGCTCAACTTCGTCATGAAGCATGTGCTCATGGGAAGCCTGGCCCTTCAAAGCACAGTGTTGACAGCACAGCAGATCGCAACATCCACAAAGTTTATACAGCTCTTTTGGCAGGATGACCCGCGTGCAGATACTACAGCTTCGTAACTTCCTGACCCTTCGAAAGTGAAAGATCACCTGGCGCAGGCCAAGCTGGTGAATCGCCTTGCCCCACTGCCAGCATGCCAACAGATTTGGCACGAGCACGAGACCCACAAGCCCCGTTAGAAGAACACACCAGCAAGTTGTTCGGCAACCAGCGGCCACCATGCTGTCGCTTTTGGAACTTACAGGCATGGTTGCTTCCTAACCGGAGGCCAGCTTTGAACTTGGCTAGCGGCTAGACGAGACCAGCGGAACGACTCGACTTGACTAGAGGCAGCAGCAGCAGCAAAACACCAGAACTTCTGGAACGGCGGCTTTTGGGCGCACGGCCGACTTCCAAGCTTTGCCTTTCTCGCATGCACTGATAGCGCTGCTGTACCTGTCAGCTCGCAGACGAGAACCCATCCAAGGAGTCTGACAAGAGCGGCAAGACCTACCTCAGGACCGGACAGGACTCGGTCCGGCACAATCGTTTGTGCAAAAGCCTGTAAATCAGGATCTGCAGCGGTTGGCATTAGCAACATAACTATGTGAGGCATGCTGCACATGACACAGACGGTTCCTGGATGCACGGGTCTTGAATTCACTGCAGGCCTCTGCCAACAAGCCAAGAGCTTCTTCCCATCGCCGTGCCTTGTGGTGAAAGGCAACAGTTGGGGCATCCATGCACCTAACGCTCTGTCCAGTTGCCGGGTAGCCTTCTCGCATGTGGCAACGGCAGTGGCAATCACGAATTTGTCGGGAGAGACAGTCCTTCTGGCCGAGCAGTGCGGGTTCGAAGCCAGGCAGGTCAGAAGCACACGTGATCACACGTGCCTTTTTTGCATGTGCTTGACCAGTTGCAACGATCGCACCTCAATGTCAAGCGATCTGCTACATGCTAGCACACCCATACCTTGTGTCTGTTAACAATCGGATGCCGCTGAGCTTTTGTACGTTGGCCTGCCCCGTTTGTGCAAGATCCTCGGGCAGCTTTTGGCCCGTTTTGGTGAAACACTGCATAATTACACACGATTCGTGATCGATCTACACGATGTGCATAAGGTGACTCAAACACAAGTCAATTGTCAGGACACCCCAGGTTTGGGCTGAGCGTAGCCAATGCCAGCACGAATCAGCATCACTGACACAACTCACGATTTGACATGGCTACTTCGGGCCGAGCCGGAGATCATCTGCTAGATCGTTGCTTGCGTCTCTCGCGAGCTTGTTCTCGATGATACTCACGCAGCTTCTGGTAGCCTTGCAAGCTCAGGCTCTTGATTATACCCAGGTTGCAATTTTCTCTCTGGACGCTTGACCTGTCGGATCCGAGCACAAAGGCAAGTAGGAACCTGTGCCTGTGGCCTCTGCGACTTTACTGCTCTTTACTGTGTCATGGCGACTGGTTCGAAGGCCCTGGTAGGTGCAAGCATGACAGTAGTTTAGCCTAAGCCCCTGCGTGCCGATTTGCCCGCTTCCGACATGGACGCTTCATTGGCCAATGACCAGTGCTTCATCGCTTCTGGCGACGCCTCGGGTCTCTCTATTTTTGCCATCTACAAATACTCTTCCTGATTCGGGCATCAGCAAGCGCGCACAACACATGTTGCCACGACGGCAAAGACCAGATGGCTGAAGACTGGACTTCCTGACACAATCTGACACACCACACTTGCAGTTCTTGCCAAGATTCGTTTCGAGTCGATGAACCAAACCTCTGCTGTTTTGCACCAGTTCTAGCCAACCATTCTTCACCACCCCTTCATCCAGGATGCGAGAACAGCACTTAGAAGAATTGCTAGCCAGGGGCTGTTGAAAGACGGCATCCGCAGCTGCATGCAGGTGTTGCTTGACCTGAGCAGCAGTGAACGTTTAAGTTTAGAGCATCCCTCGAGCTTGAGAGCGCCAGAGCCTCCCAGGACGTCATCGGGGAATCAGAGAAGCTGTACTGGCCAAGAAGGGCGGCTGTCTGCCTGGTGCGGCGGTGCAGGGCGAATCCCGTCACTGCTTGCCCGATGCCACCTTGAAGTCTCCTGGCTTGGCCGAAAGATGCGAGGGAAGGCTTGCGCATTGCGCGGGGAGCCTGGCGCACCTGCGAGCTCCGCATTTCGTGTCCGCTTGGCGACAGCTCTGACACTGCTGCGTGCTGAAAAATACTGCCGCGAGTAAGCTAAGCCATCGGCTTTCCCACCTTCGTTGGAAAGTCCTATCTTCTGATTCGACAGCATGGCCCACATTGCATCTGTCGGAAGCGCTAGCCGGACGCCGTGGTGTAGGTGCCGTTTGCTCCTGAGTGCTCTTCAGGTCATCCCAAGGACAAGCGGTCCTTCCAACATAGCAAGTTAACTACGGCAGGCAAGCCACAGACAGTCTGGTCAGTGACTCTTGCAGTGTTCGAATCTTGTTGTGAAGTGACCAGGAAGTCAAGCACCTCCATGCTGTGCATCTCGTTTGACGACCTGACTACAAGTAGCAGCATGTTTGTTCAAGCAGGCCCTAGCATTACAGCTGCAGCAGCTGTATAGCATCCTCTCCGAGCGGCGCAAAAGTAGGCTGACGTTCCAAGCAGTCGCTTTCCTCAGCTACAGTTGCAGACCATGCCGGGTACCGGCTCATGTATTATAGCTGGACTAGTATCATGGCCCCTTGCTACATCTAAATCGAAAGAGAGACAGTCCATGATTCCAGCGGCCCCTCGCATCTGATGTGTTTCACTGTTTTTCGCTCCGGTCCGTGAGTTCAACTATTTGTTGTCGACTTGTGCCGACACTGGAACACGCAAAGACTGTGTGTGCGTGCGTGTGTGTGTGTGTGTGCAAATTCATATCTCTCTTTGCTTCGCGCTGTTTTCTCTGGGAGAGGGATTGGAGTTTGGCTTCAGGCTGCACAGGTGCACAAAGGCTCTGTGAAGGGCAAGACATGATGCTTGCATTCTCAAACACTGGCTGTCCCCTTCCTGTTGTGATTAGTCCACTTGTTTCCTTGCTTCCCATTGTCTTGATGCACAGTTGCATCACCTCCTCTTCTGAAAAGTTTGCCGCGCGACTCTCCTATCTGTTACTCCAAATTACATCATCTATGGCAGAGTGTAGTGAGTAGTGTCATGTCGTCTTGCTGCTTGACCTCCTCATCAACCCGACGAAATCCGGAATGCTCGGAGGCGCGCCAACAAAAGTAGTTGCAACTGATACTGAAATAAACACGTGCGAGACAGACACAAAGTTTGATGTTCTGGATAGAAGCTGGGCCCCTTCGCGGCTCCGTCGGAAGGTAGCAGACATGCATGCGCCAGCCATCCAGCGCGCAAGCGCAGCCTGCGATTAAGTTAAAATGCTGATGTCAAGGCACGACGTGGAGTAAGTTTTCCTGCCAAAACATGCCTTGAGGAGGCCTTGATGAGTTCCCTCACAACATCTACCTGAGTGCTCTTTTGTGCTCTTTTGGAAGTCAGCAATTACTTGTGGTAGCAAAGCAGGCCATGAGCTCGCGGCGGCTCAGAGTTTGCATCATCCGCTGTCGTAGCGCACCCTCTTGATGCACGGCCAGCTCCTCAAAGAGAACTTTAGGAACCACTCTGATACTGCGCTGACTATGCACACTGAAGCCGCGCTAGCCTTCGGCTCTTTCATGCTGGTTCCGGTTTTTTTTGCTCCTGCGTGGCTAGGACGTTCCCGGGGTTATTTCTGCTGAAGCTGAGGGGCGGCTGCAGCAGCTCGCTCTTGCCATCTGCTTCGATGCGACCTGGCCCAGCAATGGCTGTTTGTTCTCACAGGACCTGTCAATCTGACGGCGGCCTCAAGGTCAGAAGCTGCCAACGACCAAGGATCTTCCACATGCCTGGAGAATTCTGCTTGTGAACGGTGTTGGTGACCTGCAGGTGTTCTCCAAGCAACGTGGCGCATCCAACAAGCGCCAAGAGCATCCCCGCCAATCTTAGCTAAGGCACCACATGTTGCACTGCAGCTTTGATGCGTTGTTCTTGAGCAAAAACAGCCAGCGCAGCTGCATTGCTTTTGGCCCCAAGAAGACGTTCCCGTCTAGAATTGCTCGATGATTGACGCCAGTGTAGGAAGCAGGACTGCAGCACGCATGCCTCAACAGGCCCGATCAGTCAAGCCGTGGTCCCAAATCTACTACCACAGCAGTACGGAGCCCTCTTTGCCAAGATGCCCTGGCCGCATGAAGCCTGCACGAATGCTCGTGCTCGACCATCAACCTTTTGGACGCTCTCAGCTTTGTCAGCTTGCCCCAATGGTTGAAGCAGACCTTCGAAAATGATCGAACAAGCAGTCTGCAGGCGTCTGTAAAACCTGCTTGGCATCCTCACATTTAAGCCCAGTATCGTACAACCACGGCGCCTTCACGAATGCCTGCGCCCAAACGAAAGGGTGAAATGATGAGCCTAGGGCCTAGAAAATGAAGCTCTAGCTACTCTAGCTGGAACGGGAACGCCCCTGCCTCTGGGCCTCGTCGGAGCTTCTTGGCTGCCATAGAGCGTGCTCGGGCTGCCTGCTCGCGGAGCAGCATAGAAGTCTCCAAGCTCTCCTGTCGGAGAGATGCCTCCTGCACAGACGCGAGTCTTCAGGTTACCCTGGCATACCCTGGCCGTGGCCCCTTGAACTGAATGGTTCCGACAATAGTCCTCCGCGGCTGTAGCCGCATATGCTTGCACTTGGTGTTGACCTCCGAGAATCGCAGCTTACATGAACAGGCACAGTGAAAAACAACTATCCGAAACTGCTCCGGCCGAGTATCAATAAAAGAGGCGCTGGTGGCAGTGCCGCAATTTCTTCCATAACTGGCTGCCGTTGATTGCACGTCTGAAAGCACTGAATGCATCTTTCAATGCCATCACTCGCATCAAGCCACGACCAAGTGCCACGACATGTTGATCAAGTGCAGCTTGCAATCGCTCCATGTGAGGATGATTAAAACCCATCAGCGCCAAGAACAGGCTCTGTACACGTTCTGTGAAATCTTCAAGAAGCTGCGAAACCATATCGCATGTCTCGGGGTACTCGTTTGTCGAAGCTTTGTTTACACATGGAGCACAAGGTGGTGGCGGTGGGGACGAAGCACGAGGCAGCGGCCGTCGGAAAGGGCCAGGTGACCTTGAAGTTTTGCGCGGAGATCTTCCAAGCCTTGTTCTTGCAGCCTCTCTCCGACTGCTGCATCGCTTGCATTCGGTCAGCCGAGAGCACTGGAAGTTGACATAGTCATCGGGCTGGAACATCAGACTGCTTGGCTGAACGTGTCAGCGTCCTCCCCCTCCTGATCGGAGATGTGTGGGATGCCCTCTTTGGAGCCGCGCCGAAGCTCAGCCACGTCACCGGCCGTCGTCCAGTTGCACATGGCAGCGGCTCCAGAGCATCTGACCCTTACTTATGCTTACGGTGCGTGCCTTGAGCTTGATGAAGCTGGAGTGAAACAACAGGTTCAACATACATTGTTTCTGCATGGACATGGCAAGTACACCGTTGAAGGCTTGGGACGACATGGGTGGCAAGCCTGAGACATTCAGAAACGACACAATTCCGCCCAGGATCCAAGAGTGTGAAACATAGTGCGATACACGCCGACCAAGATCCTATCGTCCTACCCCGAACGGTGATCCCTGATAACTCCTGCTCTCTTTGAGGCCATTGCCCAGAGTGACGATGCCTCGAAAGATGCCAGCAGTGCTGCATAGCTGTCACCACCCGGCCTGAACCAAGCATTCTTTGTTCAAGTCTTCACTTGGAAAAACCCAGCATACAGACCCCCTTGATTTCAAGCCATTGCCTCAGGTCGGACTGCAACTCGGAAAAGAGCTGCAATGCCAACCTAGCCGGAAGCAGGAGGTTGTGGGCGACCCGCGTCTATCCTGAAGTCTATTCAGCAAAGCGAGGGAATGGCTCGGTTCATCAATGCATTCCGAGCCGTCAAAAAGCATCTCTGGCAATTAACTAGTACCCTGGTCTCCCTGCGGATATGCAAACCAACTAAACACCAGGTGGTCTGGGGATATTCGATGCTTTGCTACCGTCAAACAGTGCACAACCTAAATTGAGGGTCTGGCTGCCAGCACGCACCGCCAGCACATGCACGGATGGCGATGTTGTAGGTGATGGTGCCCGGTGCTATGGACTGGGCCCGCATTGCACTGAAGCCGTGCAGGACTTCTTTCCACTGACTGCTTGAGGCACATGCTTGCATGACAGAGCTATGGATAATTTCGTTCGGCACAAGTTTCCGCAAGGGCATCTCCTGCAAGAGCTCCAGGGCCGTCAGCCAGGGCTGAGCTTGGGCTCTGCATGCATTAATGGTTGAGCTGACCGTGTAGGCATCGGTCTCCGCCTTGCAGACACTCATGTCGAGAAAGAGGGCACTTGCCAGTGCCCACTGCCCACAGCGTTCGCAGGCACCCAAACATGAGTTGAAACTGTATGTTGTGGGCGACATGCCAGACTTGAAGACAAACTCTCGCAAACTTTCCACGGCGTAGGCCCACCATCTGCCACACGCGCTCATCACCGAGTTGAATGTGACTTCGTCGGGCTCCAAACCCTCGCGAGTCATCGTGTCGAGTAGTTCGATGGCACTGTTCCAGGCCTGTGAACGCTCACAAGAGGAGATCCCGACATTGTATGCAATCACGTCAGCCTCAACATTTCGAGCCCGAAACTGTGGAATGAGCCCCAGTGCTATCTGCCACAGCTTCTTCTTGCTGAGCGTGGCCACGACAATCCCCAGCTCTTTGGCACTCTGGACGTGCCTGTGCAGTCCGGTGTCCGAGTCCTGACCAGGATCTTGAAGGGCCGATCGAAGAGCACCTGATGGGTACAGTAGGAGCCAAATAAAAAATCTATAGGGAGGCTCCTACTTATCAAATCATTGGCGACCGGGAGGCTCTTCGAGTTCGCATCTCTTACCGACAATCGGCTCAAACATACTGCGCCCTAGGCCAGTGAAGTCCAGCAAGCCCTCGTCACCTTCCGCACCTGGACCTAGCCCCTTGAGTATGCAACAGGCTCAGGTTCATGCGCAAATTCAGAAGGAAGCTGTTCGCAAGCGACCAGACATCAGGAAGTCACTTGTTTGTGTTGCACGGCAAGCGAGGTGCATAGCAAGCCCACAGTCCGATAATTTCTACAGAGTACCACAAGCTCACTAGCCGTAGTTTTCACAGTGCGGCATCCTAGGAAAGCTCAACTATGATAGCAGGCACGGGTGCTACAGATTTGAGCTGTGGCTTGGTCCCGGCAGCACTGCTTGACATGACAACGCTCGTTGTATCGCAGAAATCTGGCACCTACTGTCACCGACCCAAAGCACAGCGACAAATCAAGTCGTTTCTGCTGTGTGCGAACAAGGATGGTCAAAAGCTGTATCTTATCGCTTGATGCGCCGCCGTTGCCTCCAAATCGCGCGAGGACCGAGGTGTTGCTTACCCTACCTGCCCTGTCTTCCGTGGACCTTCAGTTCAAGCAGGGGCCCTCATTGTAGAAACCGAGAGTGTGAACCATTGCTCCTGGAAGAACTGATATAGCGACTGCTAGCAAGCTAGACTTTTGCAAGGCCATTTCTAGCTTAGCTCTGTTTCGGGCGGAAAAAAGCCTGGTGCCTGCAGGTGTCTTCTGCAGCAGCTGCAGCAGCTCGCGGAATGTATTCGCAGCACGCCCAGCCCGCAGCATTTCTCTCTGCCGTGACATGTGGCCATTACAGCCCTCCGTGCCGCGGGGTCTTGAGCACCCTGGTGTATAGCCTTCCAGGGCTTGTCCGGCTTGGCGCTTCGTTGCAGCTCCCGGTATCCTACAGGCCGAGAAGCCTGCGCCATGCAAGCCGAGAGATGAGGCAACCAAGAATCAGCATGTAACAAGCAGTACTAGGTCGTAGCAAGTGCACCCTTCAGGCAAAGTAACCTATATGAAGCGGCTTTCTTCCGGAGGGGAACTATCGCAAGATCGAGGATTGAACTTCGACGCTTCCACTGTGTGACGTGCATACAGTTTCGTCTACTTGCAGGGCTTCGAAAGGAAGCGACAACAGCTGCTGGATCCAAGCCATCGCACTCCACTGCTATCTTGAAACGACATGGCATGGCGGCATGACATAACTCCTGGAGATGGGCGTGGTGCTATTGCGCTCCGCATGCTTAGGAAGAACAGCTTTTCTCTGGGACTGATGGCGCAGCAGCCAGCCAGGGCCAAGCACGTTGTGGTGTGAAGCCAAGGCTGCTGTGAGGCTGACTCGTTGCAGCCGCACAGGGCTTCACAGGAATGCATGCCCAGCATGCTGCGAACCCACCCGGTCGTCCTGACCTCAACATTGCAGCATGCCAATCAACCTGGACATGCCAACTGCATGCTGTTGCCAGCGGCTCTTCATGTGCTTCTTTGTGAGTGCGGCTGGGCGGCCAGGTTCTTGATGCCGGGCAGGCATGGACACAACCAGCTCAGGTCCTGTCGCACTTTTCCATTCCAGCTGATGTCTGTTTCTGCTCTTTGTGATGGAGGCACCAAGCCTCCGATGCTGCTCATTCTCGTCATCAGGCCCTCTTGCCAGCTTCCTTTTTTGACAACCTTGTGGCACTTTCGGCATGCAAAGCCTTGATCTGTGACTGCTCGGATGTTTTCGAACCCCAGTAACGCGCCTCGCAAAGGACCCGAGACGGCTTGCCAACCTCAAAACGTGCACACAGCAGGCCACCACATGAATCACATGACCACTGCAGAGGTCGCGAAGTTTACCGCTCTGAGGCAGCTGCGCACTCGACATGGGACTTGCAGACAGGATGCTTGACCATTTCCTTAGAGCGAACGGGAAGCCACCTTGCTGTGAACCAGTGTGCATCTCGCAACATCTTCCACCACGTGTCAAACTCACCGTCCTCCGGAAGTGTCATGACCCTCGGCATGCAATCCTTCAAGACATCAAGCGTGTCAAGCACTTATCAAGCAGCAGACCCCCAGCATCCAAGACTTGTGCATCTCATCGTCCTCTTCTCCAGGTAGACCACATTTGGAAAAACATTTTTCCTGAGACGTCCATGACAGCAAGAAATGAGTGACACAATGTTACACATCTTGACGACCAGGTGCTCCCTCGTAGAGCACGCCAGGCCGGAGGTCCTCGCACAAAGGCACCTGTCCACTGTGTCAATACGCAAGTTCAGCATCTGTGCTCGTGACAGGACAGGAGCGACATCACAACTTGAGCGAGGGGGGGCTCCGAGCACAAGCTGTTACATGTAGGGCCTTTGATTCTCTTGAGGGCCGCTTTGGTGTCCTTGTCAAGCCGACACCCGTTGGTCTGATGTTTCACGTTTTGGCGCCCACAAAACACGAAGCGGCTTGAGCATCAAATCTGAAATAACCTTGCGGATTTGCCCTCGCCACGGTCTGTCCCTGTGGCATTTCCAGGACAGTCTGCGATAGACATCCACAGAATTCGAGTGAAGCCGTCCGGCTTGGAAATCACAAATAGCGCAACTTGAAAAATGGCTTGTGAGGAATACGCAGACAAGCAGCAGCGTCGAATCTCGGAGTCACACCCATCACAAGGCAACAGTCAAGAAAGGACAGTTTCCAGACTTGGAGACAGACCAGAGCACCTGCAACAAACCAGGAAAGCACAGGCTAGGACACCTCTTCGTCAACAAAGCACCAGCATGGCGCCTCGCTGTTTGATCATGGTGTCTACGTACAGTTATGGCCTGACCGACTAATCTGGCATGGTGGCAAACAGGAAGCGTTGGCAACCGCGTCACCACGTGAGGATTAGCCCAGAGTAAAACGAATCCGGGATCTCGGCGATGGGGTTCACATTGACCACGGTCCACTGCGGTCAAATTATGTACCCATGGACTCGAAGCTGCATTCTGGTACGTAAGACGGAAGTGGCAGACAGCTGGATGGGGCTCGGAAGTAGAGCGCCTGCTCCCGCTTCAGGACATCCTCAGCAGCAAGCTTCAAGCATCTTCAACCTCTGGCCTGGTGCTGCTGGCTCGACCTTTGGAATCTGTGAGGATGCACTGTGCAAGGAACTTCTGCATCTGCTGCCAAGCTTCGTAGCCAAACTTGCTTCTCTCAGCATCCTTCATCTCGGGAGGGTACCATTTGCCATACCTCGGCCCCACCGCTTGCTGCTCTTCAAAAACAATTTGGCGAACTTGAATGAACAAGCAGCACGGCCGTGTACATGGCGATTGCAGCAGAGCAGCTGGTGAAAGCTCGTAGGAGGAGCAAACACCTTGGTCTGTCCCTTAACCCTCTAGGAGTTACTGCCAGTGCTCGCTGCTATCCTCACCAACGATGGCATCCGATGCTGCTTGACTTGGCACCCGGCTTCTCCCTGCGAATGCTTAGTTGCATCTTGCTGAATCTCTGGACCGCCAGGAAGCCTTTATCACGCGGATGGTGCATCAATTTCAGCGCGACTTGTGATGAGCATAGATCTATACAGATCGGTCGGACCGCCGGGCCTGGTTCTGAAAACAGGAAGGAGAAGGAAGTCACCGCACGCACGTTCGATGCCTCTTCCTCACATGCGTCTTTCGTAAATAAGACCTCGTCACAGGACCAGACGGAATGTCGGCAAACCTTCGACCCAGTCCTGGCATTGGCGGTGCCAAACTCGGTTAGAGGAAAGGCTCCCATCCCATGCGGCCCATGCGCCCATGTGGAAACATGATTCAGGCAATGGCCAGCTTTGAGTCGAAAGCAGAAAGCGTGAAAGCTATGCATGTCCCATCATGTCCCCGTCCCAGGCAATGCCCAGCTTCCACTGCAAACAGCAGTCTACTGGTAGGCAGTGTCCAGACTGTCAACACGATTTTTTTCTGGTCTAGCTCGCGGACTTGCAGACTCACCGTCCCATGTGGAACAATTTGAGTTGTGGACGAACTGCTAACTGCAAGCAGCATCCAAGAAGAGGAAGCTCGGCCCGTCCGGAGGTGCAAGGGCAAGAACGTCTCCGCGCTGCAGCACCAGAGGTTGCGGCAAGAAGTTGCCTTTGGGCAGCTGCGCATCATTTACCGCAGTGCCACTAGCACTGACATCTTCGACTGTCACAGTGCCGGAAGAGCAAACTAGTACACAGTGTCGGGTCTCCACTACAGGACTCTGCACAGAAATTTCACAGCCAACACATCGACCCAGAGCCACCACGCCATTACTGGGAAGCACATGCAACATTCCGGTTGCAAAGTCGACCAAGCGTGGCTCGCGCGCGGAAACATCAAGCTCGGCTGCAGCGATCGAGAGACGCACGAGCTTCGAGGCCGGCGTGAGATCCTTGATCATGGATGATTGGCCTGCAGACTGGCAAGCCTTCGGGGTGCCAGGCAGGCTGCGCACATCTGCATCTTCCGGCTCAGACTGAAGCCGCTCTGGGCTTCGCGCGTTCAGGAGCTGTTCACCTCCAGTCAGCACTTCTCGTGTAGGGAGCACTGGCATCAGGATGCGGCGACGCTTGCCAAGCCAGCTGGTGCCTGGACTGGCTGGTAAGGCTGCGCCGGGGCCGACATCCTCCGAACATGCTTTCGACAAAGCTTCGGATTCACCGGTCGTCTTGCGGCTGACGGTGTGCGGCACCGCTGCCCTCGCACCGGATAGCTCTGACATGGCAGTCTTGCGACGGCATCTCTTCCAGACCAAAGCTGGAACTGCGTGTTTGGAAGCGGTCGGTAGCTCGAGTGGCCTGCAGGGTCAAACACGGCACCGCCGAAGCAACAAACTAGTCGTGACAAGAACACGAGGTAAAAATCTACGGCACATGCGGCGGCTGTTAAACTGTCCTGGCAGACAACGAGATAGGTAGCTTCGCTATGGAATGCCCAAGATGATGATGTTCCAGCTGATGTTCCTTCTTGCCCAAGAAACCCATGTTGGAACAAACGGCCGTTGAGGGCGTCGTCAGAGCGCTGACTGCATCATCGAAAGATCGCATGTCTGCGTGAACCCACAGCCGGTGTGGATCTGGCGTCTTTCTTCTCAAGCGCTTCGTAACTGCACTCAGAGGCAAACGTGCGGCCTGTGAAGCCGTGGACTCCAAATGCTTCCGCAGTTGAGCTATGATAGCTCTTCTCCTGGGCTTGTGCGCATCGACCAGCGTCATCGTGCTGACACTCTAGGCAAAAGTGAACAAACGAAAAATTCTGCACCGTGCGCCTGAGGCACCCAAGTTTCCGCTGAGGCGGCTTGATGTTGAAATCGCGACACCAGTCTTCCAAGACCGATGTCGATGCAGATTGAAGTTCGACGTCTGCCATAAGAGAGCAGCTGTTGGCCGTCGGCCAGGCTGAATATTCTCCGCTCCACTGACGAATTACCTGCGCGAATTAAACCTGGATACGGCCATCTTTCCTTCAGCATCAGCATCCAAGCCTGTATGGCCGCGTATCGAGTACCTTCGCCTGCTGACAATCCACAGCGCAATTAGGTGATGACTTGTACTGTCGTGCCTATCTTCACTCGTCAAGATCCTTTCATGATCTTTCATGGCAGCCGTCAAAACATGGATGCCTGAGCTTAGCGTCCGCTAGAACAGTCACTAGAATGCCCGGCATCGAAGCACCAACCAGGAGTATCCGCACCTTTTTGGATCTGCAGTCAGCGCACGCTGATCTTTCCATCTTAATGGAACGTGAGTCAAGATACATCTAGCATGTTTTCGGCCGATTATGTCCTCAACACACACACACACACCAGCTTTCAAATGGGTCTGGGACCTAGGATGCGGAGCAAGGAAAGAAATACAGAGCGGTGCATGTTGCCCACATCATAATGATCTGGAGCATGCCTCCAAATCGCACAAAATCACTGAAGGTGTAGTTGCCAGCATCTACAACCAGAATGTTTGAAGGGGAACCGAGGGGTGTGGCGAAGGAAGCATTTGCAGCGAAAATTACCAGGAATAGCAGGGTCTTCTCGTCTATCGCCTCGCATCCTTCAGACTGCTGTAGCTGCTTCGCAACATGCACGGCCACCGGAATCATCATCACGCACGTGGCAGTGTTGCTGATGATGTTGGTTAAAAGTGCAGTGCCAGCGTACACCATGCAAAGAACTCCAAATGGACCTGAATGCAGTCCCACATTCAACAATGCATTTGCCAAAGCAGCTGCGGCTCCTGTTCGTGTCATTGCTGCAGAAATGCCGAAAGAGGCAGCAATGGTCATCATTACGCTGCCATTGACGCCGAGCATTGCCTCTCGCCAGCTAAGAACCTTTGCACAACAGCAGAAGAAGTCCAGCGCCAAGATCGCCGTTGCCAAGGGAAGGAAGCCGAAACCGTTCAACCCGATCGCAAGGATAAAGCCACCCAAGCACAAAAGGCCCCGGAGTCTGTCCTGCTGCCGACCCCGCCGCGGGGGTTTCGAGGACTCGACGGCTGCTATCACCGAGAAATCCGGCAGCCGGTCCAGGGTGTCAGGAAAAGCCTCCAGCAGCAGAACATCCCCCTGTGCAAGCTGACTTGGGTTACGGGCTTCGACATCTGCGGCTGCATCACTTGAGGATGCACGTACAGCAAGAATAACCGACCCAGCTTTGTGAAGAAGCCTCTCCTTTTGCTTGACCAATGGCTCAGTCACGAGGGCAGAGTTCGCAGCAACCACTGCTTCGAAGAGTCGTCGGTGTCTCCTATGAGGGCCCAGTGTTGCAAGGTCCTTGTGAACTGCCGGCTCCAGGCCGTCGTAAGACTTGCGCAGCCGAGCAATGCTTGCTGCGCTGGCGGACATCTTCACTAAATCTCCTGCACAGAGTGGCGTGCCAAAAGTATCTGGCAAGGCTTCGCCGTGGCGACGAATCTCCAAAACCAAGACGTCGGGCAATCGTGTCAAACCCATATCATACAAGCTACAGCCTATCGATGGACAGCGGCTTCGAACCACGAACAGAATGCGGTACCTGCGCAGTTGATCTTGCTCAACATCAGGCACCACCTCTTCATCCCCAGACTGGGTCTGCTTCGAGGAAAGTCGGGCTGGCTGTGCGTCCCCACTATGAGGCAATAACCTGGGGCCAGCGATCAGCATATAGCACAAGCCCAGCAGGCCCAAAGGAGCAGCATAAGGCGTCAGATCGAAGAAGCCGATGGTAACAGGTGGATCCAGAGCTCGAGCCCGGTCATGTGCCAGCAGATTCGCCGCAGAGCCGATGATGGTCAAAGTTCCACCCAAGGTCGATGCAAATGCAAGAGGCATTAACAGCTGCGCAGCTGAATGTCCGTGGCGTTGTGCCCACGCCTGTACTATCGGCACCAGCATGGCCACAAGTGGACCATTGTTGAAAAATGCAGACAGCACGGCAACGGGTATCGTTATTCGGAACTGTGCCGCCAGGAGCGTTCTCGGGCTTCCCAGACAGCGGGAGATTATTGCATCCAGTACTTTGACCTGTACTCTCCACAGCTAACTTTGGATCCGAGGGGTTGAAATGAAATTTCAAAAGGCCTCCCAACTGCACACCACAAAACGCACAAGGCATGCACAGGAACTCTGCCCGAGTCACTTCTGCAAAGGCTTCCGAGAGGACAAACAAGGCGCCGAATGCGAGGACGCCAGGACTGGAAAATCCCGCAAACGCTTCTCCTTCAGTGATGATTCCCGCCAGAACGTAGACTACCGTCAAGGCTAACAGCACTGCTTCTGGGGGAAAGCCGTCTGCAATAAGAAGTATGCCCATGCAAATGCTGTCCACCACGACATATGGCTTCCACCTGTCAGCTGCCGCAATGCCAAATTCTGGCGGGCAAAAGCGCTCTGTCGCCATGCTCAGAGCGATCAATGTCAACAGAACCTCGCGGCCGTTGGAAGTCTGTAATCAACCCATGAAGGCTGTGGCAGAGCTGCTTAGGTGACATGCAGCACTCGTTCATTTAAAAGGATGAGAAGGAAAGCCATTCAATTCAAGTTGCCGTTGTGCGCTTTGGCGTGATCTCGCGCCGTAAATGATCTTGGATCCTCAACTGCCGGGTCAGTGGGACAGCAGCAGCTGACGGAGCCGCATCGCTCGCGGCCCGGGACCAGGCTCCAATCAGCTGGAGGCTTGGGCTAGCATCCATGGGGAGGGGAGCGCGACACAGAGAGGCCCACAATGCTCTTGACACCCGAGACGCTGCATACATTCTGAGTCGAGATCGAGATATGTTAGCAGTTAGCCCAGACAAGGCAGGCGGTAGCGGCACACATTTTCGCTCCATGTCACTCTCTCGGATCCATTCAGTTCACATGCGGCGCAGGATGCTTGACAAAGCAGAGGCGAGTCCGTCTTACCGGTCCAATTAGGACTGGCAGATCATGCAGCATACAAAATACACGCTGCCAAACTTGATGCTAGCGTTCTATGTAAGGCTAATTCGTCTCAGGGCGGCAGCTTGAATCCCAGATCAAAAGTTGTCCATTACCCTGGACTGACCGGGCCGACAATGCCATGTACTGCCAGCCTCTAGGAAACCGACTGGAAGTAACAAATCTCCTCCACATGACTGGGTTCCAAGCCATCCCCTCCCAAAGTTGCACAGAATTACGTGGATCAGCTCATGTCATATCAGACCTTGAGCTTTCACCCACGTGCGAAAAATTGGTCAAGTCGAAACCTATGCGCCACTTATGACTTGAAGCCTTATCACAATTCGCAACATCAAATGTGTACCTGCACGGCCGAGTCGACTGGACCACAAATGCCTACTGCCATTTCGGCAGGGGGCCTTTACAGTTCACGGGATGGGAACTGAAAGTGCAGCTCACGCCTGTTTCCCGCGATAAGAGAATCGCAACGTCAAGTAGCCCGAGACCAAGGCCAACATGCCGAAGACACCACACGAGATGTAGGCTGCAGTCACGTATCCAAGATACTCACCACCCAGTGAAAGAATTATGCTCTTGTAGCCCTCAACGATGTCGATGGCGAAATCTATGACTGCTTCCTCGCCACCTTGCAAGTCAATGACGGCCAAATAATTCTCACCCATCGCCCATGTAAAAGGTGATAAGAATGCTAGGACCTCCTTGAAGGTACCAGCCGCTTCCGCAACTGTTTGTGGTTCACTGATGCCACCGCCCATGATCAGGATCGTAACTGCAGTGGCTAATGTTGAGCTGTGCTCTGGAACTACGGCTGAAAGAAGAAGACCAATGCCGGCAGAGCTGACTGCCGTCATGCGGAAAGCAATCAGCCATATCCAGTACGGGCATGGGGCTGAGGCACAGGCCATCCAAACCGCCGTGTAGATGTAGGTCCACAACAGCACGTCAAACAATGAAACGCTGATGCGCGCGAGGAAGAAAGCAATCACCCTTATTCCGCTGGCGCTTTCTCGCCAGAAGGTTGGCCGATCAGCCCCAAAGATTTGCAAGCAAGCTATGCCGACCATCAGCCCAACCGCCAAGTGCGAAAGGTTGATCTTCAAGGGGCACAAAATGTTCCCAGGCACAAGCTTGTCGGTACACTGTGCTCCGAACATAATCGCAGCGGCTATGACCAGCAAAGTGCTCAGTGTTTTCTGCTGCCACAATCGAACCCAACGAATTGCATTTTGGTGGAGCAAGACCCGGTACTGTGGCCAGAAGTGCGCCCTCTTTCCCACCATCTTCTTATCCACCGTTGCTAGTGAACTGGCCCCTGAAACCATGGATGCCTCAGATGCCTCCATGTCCTTTTCCCAGTCAGGCAGGTCGCTCAATGCATCGTTTGAGAAGGAACTTCTCAAGCCCAAGAGGAAACGCGCCAGCCCACGGCGGCTCACTGAGTCATCTTCAAAGCCAATCCGCTTCTTCATCTCTGCAAGTGCAGGCTCCGAAGGCGAGATGCCAGCTGACTGGAGAATTTGCGAGAAGTGCCCACCACTTATGGATCTGATCTCACCCAAGCCAAGCAGCTCAAGCTTTGAGTCAACCGCATTATGGAACTTGAACTTGTCATCCGGATTTGTTGCATGACGATGTCCCATGGAACGTTCTGGGCCTTGCTTGGCTTCTTTCCAGTGACTGGCTAGCTCTGTCTGTTTGCGGGACGGAGATGGGGCCCCTTCATTCCGGACTTTTCCGGAAATCACGTCCATGAACCAATCAGCCGGGTTTTCGTGCTGAGGAATGGGAAATCCGAGGCTTTTGAAGTAAGGCAACGCTCCAGTGCTTGGGCCGAGGTATACGGTCTGGCCGCCCAGGCCGAGCAGTAGTACCTCGTGGAACAGCGTGAACAGCGAATATCGTGGCTGGTGCACAACCATGACGACAGTCATGCCGATCTCCGTGAGCTTCTGCAACGACCGAACAATGTCAAGGGCCGTAGTGGCATCTAAACCGGAGGTCGGCTCGTCCAGCATCAGGATGGTGGGCCGAGCTGCAAGCTCCAGTCCTGAGGCGATGCAGTTTCAGTCCAAGACACTTTGCTATAAGTACTCTCCGCGAGGTAGTGGCAATCAAACATCCAGAAAATCCCTCCCAACCCTGCTGCTCTGCACCCAACGCTGCACCGGAGCCCCTCCCTCCCAATGAAGCTGCCCAGCAGAAGATAGTAAATAAGTTATATCCTCCACGCCCTACCGCCAGCATACACTCACAGCATCTCACTACCATCATCATCCCCGCAAGAAGTGCTTTCCAAGGATCCAATGTTGACACGCTTCCGCTGGCCACCGCTTATGCCACGAGTCTCCACATTTCCCACCAGACTGTGCTGAACGTCAAGCAGCTGCATCACATTTAGGACATCTTCGACGATGCTGTCCAAGACTTCCGGGGCTGTTCCTTCTGGATTTCTCAGCTTGGCAGAGTAGAAGATCTGCTCGCCTCAGCCGTAGATTCGACGTGTGTCTCGGCAACAATGTCTGTATGGCAGTAACACGGACATCTAGCACAGCGTGGCGTTTGACATGTTGCAAAACTCGGTGGCATCACACTTTCTATTTTTATGGAGCTTCGTTGTTTCGAGAGACGTTCAGCCGAGAAGCGAACAGTCAGATGAGCATGGACAATGTCATCCTGAGGAACGAATCCTCTCAACGGCTTGAACTCGGCAATGCTGGCCGGCCGACCATTCAGCCGAATCTCCCCGCTCACTGTCCTGCCGGTGCTTTAGGGACGCAGACACGACACGACACGACAGGGAACTATGTATTTCGATCGCTGTAAGCTGCCTCTGCCGTTTGTTCGTTAGGTAAAGGTGATTCAAGCAAGGTCAATGTATGGCATCTCGCTCAATCTCCTCAGTTACTCTCTCCTTGCGGCACGTTGCCCTCTACATGACTTTGCAAACTGACACTGTCAAATGCTGCGGCGGTCCCGTAGTATGCCCGACCGCAGAGAGCATTCATGAATGTTGTTTTGCCTGCACCAGATGGTCCCATGATGGCCGCCACTCTCTTGGGTTGGAACTCGCCTGTCACACCCTCGAGAATGCACCGCCCATTGGACTTTAATTTCACACCCACGTTGTCGAATCCGATGTGGATCGAGGACATCTTCAGATGCATGCCGCGAAACCGGTAATCTGGCACAGTGGCATCTGGCACCAGGTTGTGCACCAACTCCACTGAACAGCGCTCACACTCTGCCAAGACCTCTGAGCGTCTGGACTGCTGCTTGCGCCCGATACGGTTCAGGAAAGAGTTCACAATGATTGCAACATATCCAGCAGCTACAAGCAAGAGTACGCACAGCTCCCAAGCTTGTGCCGCTTCCATATCTAACCCCGTCGCCTCTTTATGTCGGGACACCTGAAACTTTGAGCAGACAGGTCCATCGAATCATGGGCATGGAGCGGTTTGAAGCACCTTACTGGGCCTTACTGTGCGGCTCAGACGCAGCAGCTCCCAATATCAGATTTTTTCGCATTCTGTCCAATCATGACGCAACATGTTCCTATGTAGGATCTGTTGACCCTTCGCATTCCTCCAAAGTCCATTTCGGACTGGGATGTCGTGCACCTATTCAAGTCGTCCAGTTCCAAGGATCACCGAATTTGCGGTTTGCAGTTCCTGCCAAGAAAAATGTTGTTTGCACAACCCTTGGCTGACTTTACTGCACAATGCACCATAATCGTGCCTTGACGTGAGGTACTGGTATACTGTCCATGCAACAAGACAATTATCATTATGAACTACGTGGGCTTCAAGTGACGACGGGCCCACTCACAAGTTGGTTGGCCAAGGCGATTGCGGTGCAAAGCCTCCTCCACGAGGCAAAAATGCAAGACAAGGCGTTGCGTGTCTTGATTCGGCACGAATTTGCCAAAAGACTGCAAATGGTTTAGGCTTGTTTGCCACGGTGAGAAAACCGCAGCCCAAGATACCCAAAAGTCAACCCGAGAACACCGAAAATGCTGCAGGAAATGTATGCTGCAGGAAGGTAATCCAAATTCTGGCCGCCCAGGTTTATGGACAGCAGGACATTGCGGTAGCCATCCATCATGTCTAGGGCGAAGATGTTCACGTAATCCTCGCCCCCGAACTCTGCGATAACTGCCAAGTAGTTCTGTCCAGATGTCCACGTGAATGGGGAAAGGAATGCTAGTACTTCATTAAAGCTTCCTTTCGCTTCTGCAACAACTTGAGGTTCACTGATGGCACCTCCCATAATGAGCAAAACCACAGCTGTTGCCAATGTCGAACCGGACTTGGGGATCAGGGTCGAAATCAGAACCCCAATGCCTGCTGCACTGACTGCAGTCATGCGTAAGGCCACCAGCCAAAGCCAATACCCACATGGAGCTTCGGAGCTTACCTTCCAAACTGCAGTGAACACGTAGGTCCAGACAAGCACATCGAAAAGGAAGACTGTCACCCTGGACAAGAAGAATGCGCTCACCCTGATGCCACTTGCACTCTCCCGCCAAAACACCATGCGATCAGATCCGAAGATCGGGAGGCAAGCAATGCCCATGAGGAGCCCAATAGCGACATGCGAGATGTTGATCTTGATGGGGCAGAGGACGTTCTCCGGTGTAAGCTTGTCCTTGCATTGGATGCCAAACACAATTGCAGCCAGCGACATCAACGCCAAACTGAATGCCTTATGTTTCCAGAGCCTCATCCACCGAATAATGTTTTGGTGGAGTAGGACAGGGTACTGTGCACACAAGCGTGCGCGCTTTCCGGACATCTTCTCCTGGCTGACTTTGACGCTCCCGACCGTGCTGGCAGAGGCCTCTGAAGCTTCCATTTCTTTCTGAACATTGGCAATATCGCTGAGCGCGTCGCTGGAGAAGGCATTGTTCAATCCATAGAGGAAGCTAGAGAGCTGCTCCCGGGAGACTGAGTTTCCCTCGAATCCGATACGAGCCTTCAACTCCCGAAGGGCATCGGAAGATGGTTCCTGCACCCCGCTCTCTTCCAAGAGCTTCAGGAAGTTCTCTTCGGTAATGGTGTCCGAATCCAGGCCTGCGCCTGCTAACTTGGCAGCCAGAGCTTTAGAAAAGGTGAACAGTTCGGCTCTTCGAACCTGAGATTCCTCACCAGATTCAACGACAATCTCGGTGAAACGCTGAGCCCAAACTTCTGCAAGCCCGTCGGACTTCAGGTTCGGGTTGGCTTCGTTCTTCACCTTGCCTGAAATCACATCCATGAACCAATCGGCAGGGTTCTCATGCTCAGGCATGTTGAAATTCAAGCTGGTGAAATACGGCAGAACGCCTCTGCTGTTGCCGAGATAGACTGTCTGCCCTCCCAACCCCAGGAGGAGCACCTCATCGAACAGGGTAAATAGGGAGTATCGCGGCTGGTGCACCACCATGACCACTGTCATGCCAATCTCTGACAATGTTTTCAGCGAGCGCATGATATCCAGGGCCGTCGTGGCATCTAGACCAGACGTCGGCTCGTCCAACATCAAGATCGTCGGCCGTGCTGCGAGTTCTAAACCTGAGAAGTGGGAGTTTGGCAGGGATGGTCTTCGGCCAATCGACCAAAAACCCGATGGCAAGACTTATGCGCGCTCTGTGTGCCCATAATGACGACGTTATGTCGAATCCCGACTTTGTTCTTGCAGCAAACCAACACGCCGGGCATGGCCGACAAGTCATCGTGTGTTCCCCCTAAGCTTCAGACCTACTAAGCTACAGTGCTTGAGTGACTCTGGTCCACCCCGAAAACCTTCCAACTAGCAACTTCAAGCCTCGAATCAAGGAAGGGCATAGGTTCACACGGGAATTCACCAAGCAACCAATGTTGACCCGTTTACGTTGGCCGCCGCTTATGCCTCGCGTCTCCTCCACATTGCCGACTATGCTGTGCTGCACATCTGTCAAGTGCATGACGTTTAGGACGTCTTCGACAATGTAGTCAATCACGCGGGCTGGCGTCTTGTCACGATTCCTGAGCCTTGCTGAATAGTAGAGCTGCTCACCTCGGTAAGCCAAAACATCAGGATTTCCAGCCTTTCAGACCGACAGGTGTCACACGCACGACACGACCAGCAAGACTCTACACCTGCCAAACCCCGAATATACTCCGTAAATCTAAACATGTCCAGTCACGAACCGTTAGGTGTTCATGCACGATGTCGTCTTGTGGAACGAAGCCCCTCAGCTCCTTGATCTCAGCTATGCTGCTGACATGCCCGTTAATGCGGATCTCGCCGCTCACGGTCCTGCAGGGATGGTGCATGCATGAGGCGAGCTTTCCGTCTACCAGGGCTGCTTCAGGCAAGGCTTTTGTTTCGAACCCCTGTCCCGTAGTATGCTCGGCCACAAATCGCATTCATGAAGGTCGTCTTCCCTGCACCGGACGGGCCCATAATCGCAGCCATCTTTCGAGGACGGAAGGCACCGGTGACACCTTCCAATATGCAACGTCCATTAGACTTCAACTTCACGCCGACATTGTCGAAGCCAACGTGAATCGCTGACATCTTGAGGCGCATCCCTCGAAACCGGTATTCCGGAAGAGCTGCCTCTGGCACAAGGCTGTGTGCTAAATCCACCGAACAATTCTCGCACTCACGCATTGCATCAGACACTCTGGATTGAGCGTGTCGTTGGCGACGATTGATGAATGCCACTAAAGGGAAAATCATATACACAATCATAACAAAGACGAGGACGGCTTTCTCCCACCAATATGAATCCTCCTTGGCCGCTGGGCTGGGCAAGCCGAAATCCATGGCCGGCAGGCTAGTCAAGCTGCACAAATTAACGTCGTGGGCCCGCCTCCCTCTCCATTCCGAACAAATAACGGCTGCCGGTCAAAAATACAATGAACCCACACACATGAACATGCCTTCTTATGTTTCCATGCTGGTGCTGCCACGTCCAAACATTTTTCGCGAACTTCGCCCTGTGCTGATCCCCACGGTGGCTTTCATGCTGGACAGGATGCACCGACCCATGCCTCATTGCGCTGAGCTTTTTTTGCAACGTTCGTGTTGGTCCGCCAGCCATTACACACACGGAGACGCATGGATCCGGGCGCCAACAATATCAGAGTTTCTTTCAAAAATCTGAGAGTGTGCGTTGTCTGCGCTCTGTTTGTTTACCTGTCCTCGGCATGTGGACGACGCCGCCATCCCCGGCGCAGGACGATGCTCACTCAGCCTCTGGCGACGGTGCTTGACTTCTCTAATTGTGCTTCTCTAAGCACCCCAGCGTCGGCACGTAGCTTAGTCGATGCTACGGCGGATCAGGCGGAACAACACTATGCGAAAAAAAACCATCTGAGTGTTTGCTGGATTGGCTTGTCGCCGTCATCGTGTACCGTTGTGCTCGTGAAACACTTTGCACACTGGCAGGCCAACGCTTGTTTGATCAACGGGTATCCTTGCTGCAAAATCGTAGCGTAACAACACATGGCAGCAGTAAAATGTGCAGACACGTCGCATTGTAGGTTCATCTCCCGCCTCCCGGGAGCTTTCTGAGAGAAAGCCTATAGTGTTTGTAATCGACGCCGGAGGAGCACCGAAGGGCCGAGGGAGGATGACCGAAGGGCCAAGGGCACAGCTCGCGTGTACTGGGGAGCGGCGCGCTACAGCCAATGTATGCGCCGAACAACATATGACATACGGATTCGACATTGATACTTCTGTTGCAAATTGCTGTGTCCAGGCATCGCTGCCTGCAAGTGCAGCTCACCTGCCGTCCCCCTTTGTGATGGATTGTTTGGGTCGGAGTCATTGTTGGAAATGCGATGTTTGCATTGTTCCTGTTTTGTAGTGCGCTGAACCACGGAAACATATCACATCGCAATTTCGCACTGACGCTGGACCATTCTCTGCGGGAGCATCTTCTCCGCGCTGGATTTGCTAGCAGCATGCGGCGACTGAGTTTGTCAATCATTAGCACATGTTTGCTTGCTGGCCCCTTAGCACTTCCCCCTTCTTCAACACCCCTAATAATAACATCGGCAAGTCCCACTGGAATCATATCCTCAAGTTTTCGGATTTGACTTAAGGGTTGCGCCATGTCAGGTAAAGCGACGAACTGTTACACGCTTATTGCGGCATTCAGCAAGTTCAACCTTCGTGACAGGAATCGTGCTCCGTGCGGCCCCCTAACTTTTTGTCAGCAAGCGAGTGCAACACGCGTTTAACTTTTTAACTGCTGGCGGTCGCAGTTACTCAAAAGGCCCTGCGGCTTTGGGCCAAAATGGGGCAGCATGTAGCTGCAGTCAGGTTTTAGACCTAGTGGAAAGCAGTCCCTATTGACACTCCCAAGTTTTTGTTGGATCAACAGCCGTAGGGACGTAGGAGAGAGGGTCGGCAGTTTATCGTTACCCTGGAACTGGGCGTAAAGCCGCAAAGCTCTCAGCCGGTTGAACCGTAGCTGCCAGGCGAGCTCGTGGGGCAAGACGTGTCCAGGTGCACACATTTTCGGGTTGGTAAGAAGACAAGGGGCTCACAGGAGGTGCCAGGCAGCACCATCGCTGTAGTCGTCACTGGCAGCATTGGAATGCCGTCCCTGCTGTGCCTCAGGAGTGCGACCGAAGCTGAACCATTGGCTGTCTGAGCCAGTTGCGGAAGGTCTCATGCAGGCTGTCAGGCAATTGGGTGAACCCATCGGCGTGCATTACCGTGGTGGGGACCCATCGTACAGTAACTCTTTTGTCTTCCGTACGAGTATGGAAGTGTGCTGAGATCGCCACGTCAAGGAAACTTTTACAATCGGTCGCGTGGACATGCCGTTGGTCACCGACCAATGATTGGTCAAGACACTACGGTCCATGGCATCGTCGCCCGCATACGCCTTTCCTGCCAGCATAGAGCGAACCACCCCAGCGTGTCGAGGTGCAAGGCACGGGCGTTGCCTGTCAACGCTTTTGGTGTCGTGAGACACACGAAAAGGCCTTCCTCGCTCTTGTACTCCTGGGCGCTTGTCCATTAGCAGTCACCGTAGGTCACGATGATTGTGTGCTGATTGAAGAGGATCCCGCGAAGGACCCACCCATCGGAGTGTGTCCGTGCGATGTACTCGGACAAAGCATGTAGCTGCTTCAGCTCTGTGAGGGTCAAGGCCAGCAACGTATCGTCTGGGTGCAGGGAGGATGCCGCGCGGTCCAGCGCTTCGTGCTGTTCCAATGCATGCAGCGCGGGGGCCAGAGCGTCGCCCTGCTCGCAGCCCTCGCCTTGCTGGATTTCCCTGTGGCGCCCGCGGTCGTCCCACCAGCTGTAGACCGATGGTTGGCCACAAAACATGCGGACGAAAGGGAGGAGCTCCGGGGCTACATCCCGCAGTTTGGACAGGAAGGCCAACCGCGACATGCAGTCATAGGCGCTGCGGCCGTCCAGGGAGACNNNNGTCGCTGGGCAATGGCGACCCGCACGGCTGCGAGAGCATCTGTGCCCGCCCGCGCTTGGAGTGCGAACTGGTACGGCCGCGTGGCGTTGTCGAACACGTCAGCCCACTGCTTTGCGAGCTTGCGTGCGACGAGCCGGCGGAAGGCGTCGCCCGCCGCGATTCCCCGCACGCCGCCGTAGGGCTTGCGAAGTGCCGTCATGCGAGCCATGGCGAGCGCCTGCTGTATCTCTTGCGGGATGTGGGCGCGCGCCAGCTGGGTGGCTGCATCCGCGAGCAACTCGATTGCCTCGGCATCCTGGAGGGGGATTTTCAAGTGCTCAGCTCGCATGCCTGACAAGCCCCGCCGCTCCTCCTCTCTTCGCCTCCCGCAGGGTGGTTGCCACTGCTCCCGCGGCTAGCCTGACCTGTTGATCGGGCTGGACAAGGCGAGGAGTTCGGACGGCGGAGGCGCAAGCGGCTGCGGAGGCCGCCGGGCTGGGTCCGTGAGGGCTTGCCACGTGGCGTCAGTACCGCGCGAGCTCTGCTGCCGTCAGCACATGCCTGGTTGCGTTTGCGGCTGGTGGCTTCGTCGGGCGGCGGCTGGCGACCGTGGGAAGGCTGTGCAGCTCGGATCAGTTGCGTCCACTCGCCGCGTTGGAAGGCTGCGGCCCGGCCCAACAATTCCGCGCGCCCTTGCGATAAACATATATGTTTCTGCTCGTGTTTATTGGACGAGACGGTGGTGGGCGACTCTGGCTGCAGCGGTGCAGCAAGCTGTGAGCACCACGGCGCTCGGAAGCCCGTGGCCCGCGCCCCCGCAAGCGAGCCAGCTTCCGGGCCCGGAGCTAGACCGTGTGCCCGACCTCGCCGAAGCAGCGGGGCCGAGCCGACTGCCGCTCCGGCCGCAGCAGCCCGTAGGCCTTAGGACTTAGGCAGCCAGTGGGAAAGCCACAGACGCCAGCGGCAGCAGGAAAAAGGTGCGGGAAAAAAAAGTGCTTAAAATAGGTGAACGTGTCAAAAAACTCCGTAAAATCCATGCCTAAAAACCTTACGGATATGTTTAAAACCCAGTTCGTGTGTAGAATCCAGCGTGGTTATTTTCAAAAAAAGCCGTAAAATGCGGCTCAGCTGTTTAGATGTGAAGAAATTTTAGATGCTGTGGTTATTTCCACAGTGCCGCGCTCAATATTTGAGACGCGCCCGCCGATCTCTAGGGCCACGGTTGCGAGCGCATCCAATGCGCCACCGGCTTCCTCACATCCTCACCCGGCCCAGGCGTCCGAAGCTCCGCAAAAAACCAGTCCAACGTCCGAATGGCCTCTGCATGATGTCTCCGAGAGACCCCAGCCACTTCGGGCGCGTCCCCAGCAACCATCTACGAGGTCACTGGATCTGTCCACGGTCTGGACAACGCCCCGCGGCTGTGGACAAACGACTCCTCGCTGCCCGCTTTCGCCCTCACTCCGTCGATCGTAGGTGCATGTCTGCACTACGACAAGGAAAGTACAACGTTGGTGTGCGTCAACGACTTTCTAGTAGCCCCCCGTGCTTAGGAGGGGGAGGGGCAGAAAATGCAGATTACAATTTTCACTCCCGCGCCGATACGCATGCGTCAATTGTAGGATCCCACTTCTGCGTTTTGCAGCTACCTCTTGCAGGGCAAGCCATGCATACCCCTGTTTATTTCTGCTGGACACGGA